TGAACTAAAGGCGGGTTGCGTATCTACGGTTTCAACTCTGGACCAATGATTCCAGGTTTAAATCACGGTTTATGCGTTGCACGCAGGTAAGGATCAGCAGGCATGTTTACGAAACTTTCCTAAGATTGTTCATAAGAAATTTCTTAAGATATAGCTTAAGAAAATCTTAGGACCATCGTAAGATTATCTGGAAGTGTTTTTCAAAGCTACCTTATGACCGTCCTAAGATAAAACGTCTTAATTCATTATGACATAGAAATACTCTAAACTTTTAACCATTGTCAGGGATCAGAGAGTTGTAATTTTTGGCTAAATATAATGCTACACGTTATGTCATCATTATGGAAATATTTAAAAAGAGTATAAATTAAAAAAAAGGAATTGGAGTTTCTATTTAATTTATGAATATAAATTATTTATTTTTAATTATTAATCATATAATTTCGACGATATACTGTAACATTGGTTATTACATTTAAAATCAAATAGAGTGCCATTTGATGATCATTCAGAATTCTTGAACGATGAAAAGTGCGCCAATTTACATGAGTGAAACGGAATGCAGCACAAATTCGGAAGGAAGTAGGCAAATCTGGAGGAGACCTCTCCCCCAAAGACTAAATCATTGGTCACCCGGAAAAACCCATTTAAACTCTCTCTCTCTCTAGCTCTCTCTCGATTTTCCTAAGCTAAGACGTCTTAAATCATTATGACAGAGAAAAAACTCTCTCTCTCTCTCTCTCTCTCTCTCTCTCTCATAGGTTAAGATTGATTAATTGTATATTATTTAACGTCCCTCTTGAGAATCTTTCACTCATATGGAGAGGCCACCACTTGCTGGTGGAGAGCTACAAATTTTATCCTATTCTCAACACTTAGGGCCATTGAGTAATGAGGGATCTTTTTCGTGCCACCACCAACTGCGACACGGGACCTCAATTTATACGACCTCATCCGAAGGACCGGTCTCCATGTCCCACAGGGGGATTCGAACACGACTCAGACGTAAGGATCACCTCCTTACACAGCGACTCTCTCAGTTTAAATGAGATTAAATTTTATTCTGTTTACAGGTTACATCTTAATGTATGTTGTGCATCTGCGTGAGGCACTGAATGTCTTAAGAATTCTAACCATGGGTACTCTTGGAAAGTAAATGCATACAGGCACGTAATTTAACATGGGGGAAGGGAGGTCCAAACATACTATTTACATTATACCATTGAAAATGTTCATTGAAAGATCGCCCCTTCCCCTTTTTGTGTTGTATAGTAAAAAAAGGGTAATCTAGTAGTGTATGAGTAAAATTTGGCACTGAAAAAGTTGTTACCTAGCCCCCTTCCTCCCCAGCACAAAATAAGATTTTTGCACATGCACCTGATGTAACCTATTTTTCTTTTAATAAAAAATATACCCCTACCTAAAAATAAATCATTATTAGGTAAGGTTATATTTTTTTATTAAAGAAAAATAGAGTAACTTCAGGTGCCTGTGGATTTTCGAGCCACAAAATTTTCGAGGACAATTTTTTTTTTAAATGTAAGTTAGATTGTTTTTCTATGTTGGTTGGATTCTTTTTCTACCCCCTCCCTCTATCAAAATCTATGCTACGTCCGTGTCATGTGCAAATGCAGTACATTAGTAACTGTGTAATAATCAGGCACGTAGTATCAGGGGGGGGGGGGGGGGGGGGGCCCCCCCCCCCCCACTTTTTCTCCCGACATTACCTTTACTATAGAAAATGTTTACTGAAAGGAAGGTTGGCCCCCCCACATTTCAGCACAGTGTAGTGTTATAAAGAAAATTTACCCCAAAAAGTTAATTGAAAGATAGTTGGTCTTGAAAAAAAAGTTGGCTAGTACACCCCCCCCCCCCCCCCCCCCCCACGAAATAGGATTTTCGACTTTTTTTTTTTTGCTTGTCAACTTTTTCAGGTAAGTAAAAAAAAAATTTCTCAGGTTGGCCCCCCCACTTTCAAAAACGATGCTACGTGCCTGATAATTCAACATCTGTAGAAACCATCTGATAGATACACAATACAAAAAAATCCATGATATTTTAGATAGCGTTAATTGAGGCTTCGGGGGGGGGGGGGGGGGGGCTAAAAGAAATAAATTCCTCTTTTAAATGAAATAGTGTGCAATATCATTAATCAGTTGAACTGTTAATATTACATTTTGTTTTGATAAACACATCAACAAAAATTAATAGTCTTATCAAACATTTTATTTAACGAAATCTATTACAGTGGTACATAATTTTCAAAGCTGTCGTTAACGGTCCCGACATACTAGTAATCGGTCTTTCGAATTCGTCCTATATCTCTCAATACTCAATCACGTCTGATACGACGATTTCGTCGAGCCAGCAACAACATGGACGCAGCTATTTCTACTTACGATAGACTTAAGATATGTCTAAATCTGTCGTAATACGATACTTTCGAAAACCCCACTTAGTCTTAAGAATTATCGTAAAATATCTTAAGACGTTTTGTAGTCCTAAGATAGCTTCGTAAACATGCCTGCAGGTGAGTACGACTCAGAATTACGGAAAATGCTGAACCTGCTATAGGGGTGGTTTAAGTACAGGTCCATGTAAGAATCAGGCAATCAGCGATAAGTCGCATGTCTCGGATTAAGCCAAAATTTTTCACAGCAATACATGGAATAGTAGTAATCTAAACACAATAATATTTTTTTCAATTGGCACATATAGGTTGTGATATGTTACTAAAAATAGATTCTGGCGCTCATGAGCCAAGATCTTGGGCAAAAAAGTCAGAAGTTCAATGCTTCAAAAACAAGAATTGTTGTTTTCATAAATTAGCAAATATTTTTTTTTTTCAAATTAGAAAATTTGTACTTCAGTTATCAGTTGTCATGGAATTGTTATTTTGACCGTAACCATGGTAACCAGTGTCATGAAATGACACCTTTATTTAGCCATTAAAATTTTTGGTGATTTTAAAACTATATTAATTAAAACAGCAAACATATTATTTAATTTGTTCAACATAGAAAAATAAAGCAATATGTGGTCTTCAATTTTCCAGTTTAAAAAGTGTGGAAAAATCAATAGGAAATTTTTAATGGAGATTAAAAATTGTAGGAAAATTTGTTAAATTTCTTCATATTTTAAGACAATTTTCTTCAAATTAAAAATATCATGCATTAAAATTGAGTTTCCTAAAACAAAAGCATCTCAATCAATATATATTTTTTCTAACTGTCGTACGTTATTGTTCTGTATCATTTAGGTATCTTTATTTTATTAACAAAAAAAAAGGTAAATCGATCGGGATCGGAATTCAATATATCATGTACCTATTTGGGTTCCAAATTTTCTCTGTCAATTACCATCAGGGACGTGTGTGAGGATGATATGCATCTATTAAACCATGCTGAAACCTTTATCAACTTGTAAAAATTAATTTGCCATTTCCACTTGTTTTACATCTTATTCAGATTTAGCGAAGGGTTCATTGCTTTGATTTCTTTCCGTTTTATTTAGCATCATATACAGATAAAAAAAAAACTCCTATTGTCTTAGCTTCGTCACCCGTAGTCAGAGGTTGGTTGATTTCGTTTTGTATAAATGTGAAAAAATTTAGTCTCTTGTTACTGAGGACTTCATCATGTCATCAGCTATTTTGATAAAATCAAAAATGGATATAAACAAAATATTTCTAATGATTTAATTTTAATAACCCGATAATCCGAGAAAATTTCTAAATCAAGCTATTTTAAATAGATTAATAAAGCTATTTAGCTAAATCAAGCTATAGCTAAATCAAGAGATTGTGCCGGACTTGTAGTCTACATGCAGTTGAACATCAGTATCTCAACACCGATACCTTGGGTTAAATACCATGAATATGTTGATAGAATTTTTTAAATACATGTACTTGTACATAAAATTTAAAAATAACACAGTAGAACAAGCATTCTGAGAGTATTGCAAAAGCAATACATGTCCCCTATCGGGTTCCCCTTTTTCTTTAGGATGTCACTTTACAGTATGCAAATTATATTTATGTCTTTTCTCGCTTCATATTTACTGTGTTGGCCTTCGGAATTTAGCACAGCTAAGAATGCCATAATTCTGTCAAAAATCAATGAAGGAAAATGAAATTCAAACTTGATCTGTAAATCATCAAGATACACTCACATGCTAAAATTCAGCTCAATATCTGCAAGCGTTTAGAAAAAAAAAAGCGGAAAATCAAGTAGGACAGACCACAGGAGTTCGCGTACCTATCAATTTTACCGAAATTTTCAGTAAATAAAAAAAATACGTAATACCTATAATGATAACACAAGGAGTGCAACGCATTTTAGGTCACCTGGGTACCCCTCGCTTAATATCAAGGCTGTCGCACAATTAATCTTCAATCGAAAATTATAAAACACAAACCAATCTTTTTGGAAGGGACCATTCTTTATGGCTCTTAATGCATAAGATTTCAAACTCATGTTTTACAGCAGCAGCGGTGACATTTCTCCACAACTTCGCTCAAATATCCGTTGTCCGCGACGCCATGACGTGACGTCACGGGCGCGTCCATTTACCCAAAAAGGAACAAAACTGCATGAAATGCTAATCTAGATGATTGAGGTCACATGCGAAAATAAACCAGAGACAAGTTAGTAGACATTCAAGAAAATTTAAAACGGGGAGGTACAAGTACTTGTATTCGTATCTAAACGTAATATCGTTATCTCTAGTTAATTGTGTATGATTGTTTATTTTTGTTCCTTTTGGGTAAATGGACCGCCCGTGACGTCACGTCATGGCGTCGCGGACAACCGTTGCACTCCTTGTGTTATTATTATAGGTATTACGTATCTTTTTTATTTACTGAAAATTTCGGTAAAATTGATAGGTACGCGAACTCCTGTGGACAGACTGACAGACAGACGGGGACAGACAGACGCAGAGGAAACCTATAGTCCCCTTCGGTTTCACCAGTAGGGGAATAAAAAACAGTAATGCACAACCAAATACCGATATTTAATACCATTTGAAAATATAATCAAAGCACATTGCTAATGATCTTTAACAATAAAACAGTTTTACATCTTGGTGTTATATTGTACAATTTATAATTTGCAAGAGTTCCTTAAACTGTTCATTATAGTCCACCATGGACTAAATAATATAAGTAAACAACCACTTAACCTTATGAGTCTTACAACAGTTCAAGGTGACCCATTATTTGTCACCAAAATAATCTACATATATTTTGATCCAAGTCATGTACATTTAATTCCTTCTTGTAAAATATGAATCAATATACTGCACAATCATTGCAAGGAAAGAAAACTGGAATATCACAGTTCTTTTTTTCAAAATTACTTTAATAATTGTAAACTTTTCTTTAAAAGTGTAAATTATAGCTCTGTATAGATGTGATTTGTACATCTTATATAACATACATACATTTTAAGACTATAACCTTACCATAGTCTATCACTCAAAACTGACATTTGTTCAACTGCATTATAATTTTTTTTTACCTTTTATTTGACCTTGACCTCATCAGAAATTTGTGTTAAGCTCAATTTAAAAGAAAGTAGTCAAGATATTTTTATTTTTTCAAACTGCATATAATGATACATATTAATGAGATTAAGAGCTCTTCCACCAAATGAACAATTCTGACCTTTGACCTTGGCCTCCTCTTATCAAAAACTTCATACATACTAACATAAGTATAAATTTTCATGTTACATTACATAACAGTATCTGATAACAATCACTCAATATTATCAATCACATTTTTTCATCAATTGTAGCAAGTGCAGCAAACAATTTGATCATCATCACCAATTTCAGTCTTCAACTAATGTATTTGTGAATTTTTGCTGGGTAGGCACAAAAAACTAAGGTGATTTGGGTGGAGTTTAACCACTGATTAACCTTGAAAACAATTGTTCACCATTTGATTCTGTAATTAGCTGCTTCAAGTTTGAAGATTGTCCAGATTGAGAACTGAATCCACAGACTCGTCTGCTTTTCTTTCATGGTAATGTATAGTACTTTCCCCAGCTGATGAAATATCTGTGCAAAGCTGTGCACACAAAGGGCTTGCCTTTCCGCTAGTCACTATTTTCAATACTTCATTTGCATTTTGCAGCGTTTTCATTTCATCCCTATATGTTGATATTTGCGAGAGAGTTTGGAAATTTGGTACATCTGAAACCTGTAAGAAGAAAATTAATTGTTCAGATGAAATCTGAAATAACTGTACAGTCATGTTATGCCATCAAATTTATAGATGATGTTCAGATAATTTATTGTATTCCCTGGCTAAGAAAGGTAGTGGCGTAGCGTGCATCAAATATGTGTGTAGGCAAGAAGGGCTGAAATGGGGTAGGTGCAGGAGGGGTCAGCGCCTCCTGCTAGGGGGGTTTAAGGGACCTCCCCCAAGAAAATTTTGAAAAATTAATCCAAATTATAGCATTTTTGAGAGAAGAAAATTATTAATTCAAACAAAATATGTACCCGGTATGCTTGTTTATAGTTGTTTATTTGGGCATTTTGGATTTTGTGATTTTTGTTAGCTCACCTGAGCCAAAGGCTCAAGTGAGCTATTCTGATCAAAATTTGTCCTTGTCTGTCGTCAATGGCGTCGTTATAAATTTTTCACATTTTCATCTTCTTCTCAAGAACCACAAGGCCATTTTCAACCAAACTTGCCAAAAAGTATCCTTGGGTGGAGGGAATTCAACTTTGTTCAAATGAAGGGCCATGCCCTCTTCCAAAGGGAGAAAATTATGAATTAGTGAAAATTTAATGGCATGTTTTAAAAAACTTCTTCTCAAGAACCACTGGGCCAGGAAAGATGAAACTCATGTGGAAGCATCCTCAGGTAGTGCAGATTCAAGTTTCTTCAAATCATGACCTCCAGGGGTAGGGTGGGGCCACAATGGGGGGTCAAAGTTTAACATAGGATTTTATTGGGGATTGAAGTCTTTAAAAATCTTCTTCTCAAGAACCATTGGGCCAGTAAAGTTGAAACTCATGTGGAAGCATCCTCTGGTAGTGTAGATTCTAATTTGTTCAAATCATGACCCCCCGGGGGTAGGGGGTGGGGCAAAATGGCCAATCAAAGTTTTACATAGAAATATATAGAAAAATTCTTTAAAAATCATCTTCTCAATATTAGCAAAGCCATGAATGGTCATGGGACTATACTTTCGGATTTAAATTTTTAATATTAAACCAATTTCTACTTTTTAGCCACAATGCTCAGGTGAGCGATGTGGCCCATGGGCCTCTTGTTCTGACATGTTTGCACCCTACTCTTCTGGGGATTTTCATGTACAAGTTGATATTTACTGTTACTTCAAAGACTAATGTATGGAAATTGGAAAATTGTATGTTTTCAGGAATTTAATTATGATAGCTGCAGCATTTAAAAGAAAATTAAACAGACAGAAGACACTTCAATCAGAAAGCTCACTTGAGTGTATTGCTACGACTGGTCCAACATAGCTGGAAATAAAATACAAACTTGTTACTTACATTATCATAATATTGCAGACAATCGTGTTCTCTCAGATCATATCCTAGGGACTCTCCAGTAGTACATACATCATACTGCTAAACAAAATTAAAAACGAATAAATAAATTAATAAAAGAAGTGAGTAAAGGTTTCATATTTTTAAATACGATAGAAAAATTATGAAGCATCCATTTATATGACACCTAATTTAGGGAGGTATTTTTTTTCCTGGTAAACTGTAAATTGTTTTAACTCTTCAACTTTTGGTTTCACATAAGCAAAATTGTTATTAATGCTTACATATATATTGTGTTTATGAAAAGTATGATACTTTAAATTCTTACATGTGATAGAGAATCCTGTTCATTGTTTAAATTGGAGATATCTTTGCTGTAACTTTTCAGACAGCTGCAAAGTCCTGCATAAAAAAATCCATATTTATGAACAACTGCTTATTAGCTCTACTGGTCAGAGACCAGAAGAGCTTATGCGATAGTAATGCGTCCGGCGTCCATCCGTCTGTCTGTCTCTCCGTCTCTCTGTCTGTCTGTAAACAATATTTCAAAACGCTACTCCTCCTACAATTTTAGTCTGATTTCAATATTACTTGGCACACAAGTAGACTACACTAAGATACATAGAATAGTGCATCGGTTTTTGATTTCAATGAACGGTGTTGCCATAGTTACTAAAAATAGAATTTTCTGTGAAATTCCTTTAAAACGCTACTCCTTCTACAGTTTTGGTCTGATTTCAATATAACTTGGCACACAAGTAGACTATACTAAGATACAAAGAATAGTGCATAAGTTTTTGATTTCAATGAACGGTGTTGCCATGGTTACTAAAAATAGAATTTTCTGTGAAATTCCTTTAAAACGCTACTCCTTCTACAGTTTTAGTTTGATTTCAAAATAAGTTGGCACACAAGTAGACTACACAAAGAAACTTAAAATAGTGCAATGGTTTTTGATAAGTACAAACCAGTAGAGCTACAGTCTCGACAGAGACTTCTGGTTTTTTTATTGGTATATTTAAACAATAAACATAGTGCATAATCAATATTCCATTTAATTATATACTGTAAATCACTTTTTATTCGCGAGAACTTTATTTTCGCGTAATTAAGCCAGACTGTAAGCTCACGGAAATTTCATTCTCACATATAATAGAATTCCTTAAGATTATATAGAGCAATGACTACAATCCATGAAAATTTAGTCTCGCTAATCAAGAGTCAACGACTATCTCGCGAAAAAAAGGTGTCGCGAAAATTAAGTGATCTACAGTATATATGTAATGCCCATCCAAAGAGTGATTTTACTATTCCTCAAGTGAAATTTAAAAAAATTAAGGAGATCTTGAACATGTTGAAATGATAAACAGTCACCTGAATCTTGAAATAATAAATTATTCAATTCTTAATATATAAACAAAATTCTCTACTTAATCATTATGAATGAATTTTATGCCTCCTTTTTGGGGGGAGTGTAACTGTATATCCCCCCCACCCACTACCCCATTTTTGGTTTGGTTTGCTTTGTGTGTAATTATAATGAAATATCACAATTATGTGATTTAAAATAGGCCTAGTCAATAGTTCCAAACTTCAACACATACATTAAATGCTACTAGAAAATATTGCATGTTTATTTATAGGGCCCAGGTGCGGATCCAGAAATTTTTTACAGGGGAGGTCCACCTCAGTCAAAAAAAAAAATCCAATCCCAGAAATTTCTTGACAAGCAAAAAAAAACAAAAAAAAAAACGGTGGCTTCTATTCCCTCAAATCTTTCACTTGTCATACCCATTTCACACATATTCGCGTTTACCAGGGGGTCTGCGTTTTCCAAGGCGGGTCCATGGTAACTATTTTCTTGTTTTAGTATATACATTTTTTAACCTTGTAAATTCCAGGGGGGGTCCTGACCCCCCCCGACCCCCCCCCCCCTCTAGATCCGCGCATGGGGCCTAGGATTTTTTATGTTACTGTTTATATCAGTGTTATATACATATATCATTTTCGTCAAGGTAAAATAAATTTTCTTTCAGACTGAACAGATATTACAATTAAATTTCTATTTATGTGTGATATTGTGATTTTACGAGGACTGCAAATTTAAAGTCAAACCTAGTCAATGACTGGACATCTAGAGTTATAACAGCTGATTTCTGTCAAATTAACATACCGACCCGACGACAGTTAAACATGATACAGCGAACCAAAATGAATATACATACCGGTGTCCTTTGAATCATATTAATTATGATTACATCATATATATATATACTTACAAATTAAAGAGTGTTTACATAATTATTTACCTAAAATCGGAAATACACCAATGCGCAGGGTAGCCTAATCAGACCCTCGCTGTCGGCCGCTGCACTCACGCTCGTCTGGTGACCTCCACTCAACTAAATGGTGTGTAGATATGTCTCTCTGACAATCGCCGAGTGATATTATTTCTTTTTCTTTTGGATATGGCTTGTACAATCCGCACGAATATCCTGCATAATGCCCCACACCACATTTTAACACTCTTGATTTCCATCGGTTTCCATATTTCGCGCACTAGCGTGCCTGGCAACATCACGCCATCTAGCGACAAACGTGTTACATATCCAAGAACGATAACCCGATTTCGCCAATATTGCTTGATTTTATCGGGAAAAATCCATCTCTGGTCGAAATTTTCCAAACTTTTTAGAACTGGATTTAATAGTATAGAAAGTGCTTGATTAATATATAATAGCATTTTTACCAAAAAGGTTTGCTGTTTTTTTTATCAAAAGCCCTTAAGATGCATCACTTTGTAAAGATTTGCACTAACAGTCAAAATGCATTTTTTTTAATTATCGACCCGTAAAATTTAAACAAGGCGGAATATTTCCAATCTGCCAAGTATTTGTCATATACATGTCCTGTCTATTTCTTACATGATATATGAAGTGATTTCTTGAACCACGACTTATCACAAAAATTTGATTTTGCCTGATTTTTACGTGGACCTGTACTTAAACCCTGCTTCGTATTTTTGTTCGGAGTGATGGCGGAGTATTTGGAAGAAGTTGAGAGGTTTGATCTTGTAGATTGATTAGAAGAGAACAAATTGCTAGAGATAGACTTAATCCTATCACTTATTACAACGACGCTGATTTTATTGATAGATTTCGTCTTAGCAAAGAGGCCGTTTTGTCTATTCTAGATGATATTAATGTTGATTTGGGAGGTGGAATTTTGCACACTTCATCCATCTCCCCATTAAATCAACTTCTTATAACGCTGAGGTATTATGCCACTGGCAATATGCTATCAGTAAGCGGTGAATTGTTTGGGGTGCATAAATGCACCGTTTCAAGAATCATTGAGAAAGTTTCCTGTGCAATTGCTTCTTTGTACAACACACATATAAAATTCCTCTCTGGAAATAGAATTTTGGATGTACAAGGAGCATTTATGCAACAAAGTAACATTCCCGGTATTGTAGGATTGATAGATTGTACTCACATCCCCATTATTTCTCCTGGAGGAGATAATGCCGAACTTTTCAGAAACAGAAAAGGATATTTCTCTATTAACGTACAGGCAATCTGTGACCAAGAACTCAAGCTAATTAATGTTGTGGTACGTTGGCCCGGCAGTACACATGACAGCAGAATTTTTGATACTTCTAACATTTGTGCAAAATTTGAACGTAGGGAAATTAATGGAATTTTGCTCATTGACAATGGTTATCCCCTGCGTCATTATCTCATAACTCCAGTTCTGACCCCAAACTCCAGAGAGGAGAGAAGATTTAATTTTGCTCTACGCAATGCTCGTGTAAAAATTGAAAACGTTCTTGGAATAATGAAAAGACGATTCCCTTGTTTGCGACAACTTAGATTAAAGCTTCAAACAAATCTAACAGTGATTACTGCCTGTTGTGTGTTATATAATATTGCGAAGGAGCTCTCAATTCCTCTACCACATGAAGATGAACGTCAGGAGAATGACCAGGTTCCTGTACCTGTCCTACAGAACCGCCACCAAGGAGGCAGGGCCCTACCTACGTTCAGTTCTGATTCGTAATTTCAGATAAGATCTTAAAGTAAGTATAAGAATTATAATATGTATCTTTGGTATTTTATTCAGTATACCATTTATTATTGCCCCGAACAAATTAAAATGGTCTCCATGCAATTTCTTTACTTGCACTTGGTCTATTGCCTGTTTCATTGGTACACGCAGTGGACATGGATTCCTCTAGTTTACGCTTTTTCAGATTGAGGATATCTTCTTTCAGTTTATAAATTCGCATCTTAGCGGCATGTTCTTCTTCTGCCATCTCCAAGAGCCTGTCTTTAACCTGCTCTTGTTTACCCTGGGGTCTTTTCTTCTTAACTACCGATGCTGCTGTTGATGATGATGAACTAGACGAGGAGGCTTCATTGGATTCGGTGACGCGGTTTGCCTACGTGAATAAATTTATCTTCATTTAAACTCTTATTGCGAACTTTTTATGACATTCAAATATAGGATAATGTACTGTCTATACTTGTAAATTAATAGCATTAAAATGTACTATTTGATTTATATTTTGAATTCTTCATTATTTTTTACTCACCGCTTCATTAGTACTGGACGTTCTTTCTACATCTCCATGTAAACTAGCGTCGTCGTCGAATTCATTAGATCACCTGTTAATCTGCTGCGGAAGCATGGTTTAAATTGCAGCTGAAACAGTATCCAGTCCTGTTTCAGATTGTGGCCCTCCTCCAGTTTTTGTCCTCTCTCTTCGGTCTTTTGCAACTGCAGATTTTGTCCGTGACTTCATATTTTTCCAAAGGGACTTCAGCTGTATACAGGTCCTTTGGTTGACACCGTGACTTGCATTGAATTCAGTCGTTATTTTCTCCCATTCCGAGTTCTTCTTTAATACCATTTTCCCGTCATTTTGTTTATTTTCAATGATATCCTTCCTAGATTCAGATTCAGTAAGTTCTAACAAAACAGATTTTTCAAGGGCAGTAAAATTAGGAGATTTACTGGGTTTCGACATTCTTCAATTTTTTGCAAACGAAAGTCTGGATCAGGTAAGCGTGGTTTACTTTTCAAGCGTGCAACTGGATTACTACTCAGGTAATCCTGACTTACCTGGCATTTAAACCCGGTTTACGTGATCCGTGGATCCACCACTGAGCTGTACTTAGCTAAACTATAGATACGCACCTGGCCATAAGTATGTTGTTAAACTTTTCCCTCGTCAATCTCATTGTACTCGGGAAAAGTTTACCAACATATACGTATATATGGCCAGTTGCGTATGTATGGCTCAGATAAGTACAGCTCAGTGGTTGATCCGTGGATCACGTAAGCCGGGTTTAAACCCCAGTTGAGTCGGGATTACCTGAGTCGCATTTCTGTTGCACGCTATAAAACTGAGTAAGGTTTACCTAATCTTAAAATAATACATTCAAAAACAAATATATATTTTGATGTTAAATTGTAAATTAAAAATGCTGGGAAAATGCAATACAATTTAATTCAAATCACGGCATCTTTCATCGAAACTCAAACCTTAAGAAAATATAAAATCGCAAACAGAATAAAGCTTTTGCAAAAGACTGAGGAGAAGACAATAGGTATGGATTCTTTGGAATAAGTAATTTAGAAACAATATCAAAACACAATATAGGAATATAGTAACAATGTATAAGTTTAGATTTTTAGTTAAAAATCAAATGAAAAAACTTAATATAAGACATTATTTTTTAGAGAACACATATTAGCTTTGTTTTTTTGAGAATTTTATACAGTGGCAAAATTAAAGGGGACGGACATGCACTACCTCCCCCGGCCCGGTTCCTACGGCCTTGTAGATAGCTTGATTAATAAGATATAACTGAAAGACTTTTTATTCTTAGGAAATTCGGCATTATTAGAAATTGGTATGTGCATCATCAGCTGTTCGAAAGTGTAAAATTCGTAATTTGATTTAAATTTGGTATTTTAAAAAGTTTCTTTTAAAATTCCTGTTTATGTACATTTATGTATTTTATAAGTATCTTCCAAAACTTTGTACTGTAGCTACATCAGTGTTAAAACGGCACATTGAACAGCTATTGGAAGAGTTGTGCAAAAAGAAAACCCCATGCAACAGTGCAATATGGCCATAAAAATTTTCTTGTAGAATAGATTTTTTAATACCGCAAAATCTATATCAATGCAATCCTCATTACCATAAAACATTTCTGCAACATCGAAATATTTCAAAATATCGAAATATTCTACCCCAATATCCACGGAAACGTTATAAAGCTGGGTTTAAACCACCCCTTCACCAGGTTCAGAATTTACCGTAAGTCTGAGCCGTACTCAGCCAATCCTTACATGCGTGCAACGCGAAAACTTGGATTTAAACCCGGAATCATTGATCGTAGGTTTAAATCTGAGATACGCAACCGGCCAATGGAGCATTATTTCTTTGTGTAGAGAAGCACAACTGAGAAGTGCTCAATTCGAAAACTTAAAAATAGTGTGTCATGTGACTACAACCGCAATAATGGCAACTTCGGCGTGTGAATAGCACTGTTTTGCTTGAGCGAAGAGATCATACTCACGTTTATATCCATGTGTTGTTATATAATTTTGTTAGCCTACGTCTCTAGGACAAAGTCCAAAAAAATGATAAGAATGACATTAAAATCCTACCACCCAAGAATGCACTTCTGGTTGTTTAATTTGGTGTTTTATGTTCTTACTAAACATATTGTTAACACATGCTTTGTTGTATTATTCTTATATTTCGCTGGTCCCTGGACGACAGACACGATGTCTTGTCACTTGGGGGGTGGGGGGGGGGGGGGTGGAATAGCCATGAAGAAATTTTTGACATCAAAATTGCTGAAAAGTACAGGCCCCGAGGTTATAAAACTTTTACCGTACTCATACTCCGAGTACGAACTCCGCGGAGTACGTTTCTAAAATCGAGGTTATAAAACACTTGGAGTACGTTCTCCACCGAGTCAAACTCCACGGATTTGGAGTACGAACTCCAATTCTGGAAATGGAAATCTTCAGCTTTAGGAGGTAAGAAAAATGTAAACATAAATATTAAAATGCGGGGCCATGCACGTGCTAGTACCCGGCATATGCCTTATAAGGGCAATTTATGTACGTCTGCAAATGTAAATAAACGCCTGCTTCATTCTGTCATTCCATAAATGTGAAAACATGGAGAACAACACACAAGAAACATAAAAAACAAGAGGCCCAAGGGCCTTGAATCGCTCTTCTGATAAATTGTACAATCTATCACTTCTATTTGAAGCCTCTAACCTTAAGTATCCTAAGACCCAAGTTGCATCAAATGAACAAAGTTTGATGATTTTTAGCCAATAATGACTGAAAATATTTTTAATAATAAAGCTATAAAAAACCATAAGTACATCACAGTGACCTATATTAAGATTGAAATTTTCTGAGGACTCAAGATGCATTGATAAACAAAGATTGAAGATTCTAGGCCAATAAGTATTTGAGATATTTAAAAGTAGGTCACCATGACCTAACTTTTTGTCTACATTCTTTGAAAACCCAAGATACATTAACTGACAAAGTTTGATGATTCTAAGCCAAACAGTACCTGAGATATTCAAAAGTAGGTCACCATGACCTACTTTCTGATCGACATTCTCTAAAAACCAAAGATATATCAACAAACAAAGTTTAGTGATTCTAAACCAGTTATTACCAGAGATACTTAAATAAAGCCATAAAATGTCGAAAGTAGGTCACAGTGACCTACTTTTTTGACATCATTCTCCGAAAACCCAAGATGCATCAACTTACAAAATTTGATGATTCTAAGCCAATAAGTACCGTAGATACTTAAATATAGCCATTAAATGTAAAAAGTAGGTCACCATGACCTTATTTTTGTTCATCACTCTCCGAAAACCCAAGAGCATCAACTGACAAAGTTTGATGATTCTAAGCCAATAAATACCTAAGATACTAAAATATAGCCATAAGAAGTCGAAAGTAGGTCTCAGTGACCTACTTTTTGGACATCATTCTCCGAAAACCCAAGATGCATCAACTTACAAAGTTTGATGATTCTAAGCCAATAAGTACCATAATTACTTAAATAAAGCCATAAAATGTCAAAAGTAGGTCACCGTGACCTACTTTTTGTTTGTTACTCTCCGAAAACCCAAGATGCATCAACTCACAAAGTTTGATGATTCTAAGCCAATAAATACCTAAGATACCAAAATATAGCCATAAAATGTTGAAACTAGGTCATCGTGACCTATATTTTGGTCGACATTTTTCAGAGTCACAAGATGCATCTGCTGACCAAGTTTGATGATCCTAGGTCTGAAGGTAATCAAAATATGCCTTTTAAATAATTCGAAAACAAATGCCTGTAAAATTCAAAAAGTAGGTCACAGTGACCTACTTTTTCATAAATATGTTTTAAAGTCCCAAGATGCATCAATTAACAAGATTTGATGATTCTAAACCTCTCAGTGTCTGAAATAATTGGATTAAATGTTTTAAGAAGAATTAGTCATAAAGTTCAAAAAGTAGGTCACGATGACCTACTTTTAAGTTGACGTTGTTCAAGGACCCAAGATGCAACAACTGACAAAGTTTGATGATCATAGGCCTTAAAGTGCCCGAAATATGCCTTCAAATCAATTTGAAAACAAATGCTCACAAAATTTAAAAAGTAGGTCACCATGACCTACTTTTGAGTTAACATGATGTGAAGTCCTGAGATGCATCAACTTACAAGATTTGATGATCCTAGTCCTAATAGTAAGCAAAATATAAACATTTTTATTATTTGTAAATTTAGGTCAACTTTGAAGTGACCTTGAGACCACGCCCTTTGCCCGAGGGTCATGCCTTGAACAATTTTTAATCTTCAACATATCCTGATCCTTGTATGTAAGTTTAGTGAAAATCTGCCTCGTGGTTCTGGAGGAAAAGATTTTTAAGCAACCAGTATTTTTGGTTTTTTTCCCCTGATTATCTCTCCTTCTTTAAGGGTCCCAACCCTTGTTTTAGTATAAATGGTAGCCCATGGGCCAAGGATACCCTGTGACAAATTTAACAATGATCGGCTAAGGGGTTCGTAAGTTATGGCCCATAATCTAAAAAGTTAACGCACACCGTACAAATGGCCATAGCATTAGCTCTTTGAGCCTTTGGCTCAGAAGAGCTAAAAACGGAAATGGACAGAAAACGAGGAGACTGTGTAAATCCAATGCGTTGTGGATAGGGAGGGTGATTTATTTGGGGATATTAAGGGGGTGGGTACGAAGAAGAAGTCTGTTGCCAGGAGAGAGGGAAGATGAGAAATAAGCGGGATCTTGAACTCGTAAGTATTAATCCAGTGAGATAATCACATGATAATTATATTGAAAGACTGACTCATTTTAATTATCATTACGCAGGGGGAATAAGGAAGCATACAGGAGGCTAAATCAGTGCTGCATTATGACGTCATAGTAGGCAAGATGACGTAAATTTTAGAAATCAGGTTTTCGTAATATTGGTATTTAGCTATGTAATTTAACTCTAGAAAATGATTAGAAACGTGTAAACATTAACAAAAATAAAATGTTTTTATTTTGTTATGCTGTAACAGTCATTATGGTTGAATCTACCACCGATGACGTCATATGTGTACATCAAGTAACTTGAAAATTGATCATGTCGTGTAAAGAGAATTTGGCTAAGGCGGCATGTTCAAAGATACGTAAAATGGAGTTTAAAAGGAAATATCGGAAATACTGTGTTAAATTCATATGGAGTTCAATTAATTAAACAGGTATGCTAATTTATTTTCATCGATTATATTCTCTTTCAAAGACAGTCAGCTATATTACGTATCCCGCTCGGCCTATCGTCCGTCATTATTGACCAAAAAATGCAACAGAACAACAATAAGCTGGATATTTCAAAACATACGATTTGTACAGATTGAAAGTTTCCGTTTTAACAAACTTGGAAAGTGCTGCTAGAATCCCGAGTTAAGCATGGTTGTACGAAAAATCTCGATTCACATGTATAAAATTCAAAACAAAGGGTAAGGTTTCGTGCGAATGTGTGGAATAAATATTTTACAGACAAGATAGTGGGATTCTAGCAGCACTTTTTAGACAAAATAGATGTTTTTCAGCTATATTACATACTCAAAGAAATTATCAAACTCCGGGGTATTGTTGTTCTGTAAGCCTTTTTATTAAGGAAAATTTTGCTATTAATAGAAGTCACGTGATGCCGTGGCGGTGATGCACGTCTTTGCGTTAGACACGCTTTTATCTGTATGCAATAGTAAATAACAGTTTACGGTTATCAGTGGTTTTGGTAATTTATTAAAATAAATTTTCTTCAAAAAGTCTAAATTTCCCAAGAACTTACTTATATGCTTCCTTAACATACCCGCGTAGCTTATTTACATATATAGGTCATCAGCTGGATAAGTGTCACGGGGTAGAAATAGTTTATTTACTAACAGTTTTCACTAAAAACTTGAAATCCGCTAATCTGATTAGTCTATACGAACTAGAAGTAATTCTTCAGAATAAATGACCGCTGAAAGCGAATAATGATTCGCACGAACTGCCTCATTTTCACTTTCGCTTTAGTCAAACATGGAAGTTCGCAAGTTGTGAGGAAGATTTAAAAGATATAGTGAAGAGAATTCAGAACGATTAACAAGTGTATCAATACCTGTATAAGTCTTTATGTGGAGTGCAATAGTATTTATTCAAGTAGGTAAGCACATGGCATGTTTACAACAATGGCGGCAATGTGTAGAACGGGGCCGCTTAGGTGCTATATGAAATACATTAAATTTTACCGAGGCCGCTCATGTACATAAGAATGAATAGGATCTATATTTAGCAATATTCAATTGACATACTCTAATATTGTTACATCTCCCTTTTTTTGAAGAAACAAAAATCCTATCAGGGACCTAAACACTTAAACAAGAATGAGATCATAGTATAATGCAATTTCGAAAACAACAATATTACAAACTGACTAGTCTATGAAAATAATACTGAAACAGTTCATTACACATAATACACAGCATGCACATAGTTCTCTAAGTATTGTGACGTCTTAACAATGCGTCCAGAACGAGTGGTTCGCGGTTCATCGGGCTTCAGTGGCACATCTCCGCTCGGAACGACTAACGGTTTGTCCGGTAGGGATCGATCACTTTCAGTGGTTTCGGAACTAGGTCTCGGGCAGTTCCCACTCGGCGCAGTCTGTCTGGAATTATCACCTGATTGTTCTTTCGGAGTTGTGTAGTCAGGAATAACGCTAAAGTCATTTGGTTTCTCACTCGTGGCCTTCAGGTGAGAGCGGTTTCTCCTAAAGGTACCGTCTTGTGTTTGTACCTTGTACGATCTTATTCCCTCTTTACCTATGATTGTGCCTTTCTTCCACTCCTTTTCCCTTAGTTGTGTTGGCTTCATGCGCACTGTGTCACCATGATGTAACTCTCGCAAATCTTTTGCTGTGCGGTTGTAATAGCGAGCTTGTCTGTCCTTTTCCTTCCTCATTTTCTTGATGTTATCTTTCTTACCACATGGTGATAGCAATGTTTCTTTCTGTGGCATCAATGTTTTTGTTCTACGGTTCATTAGACGCTGGCTTGGACTTTCTCCGATTCCTTGTGTTGGCGTATTTCTGAAGTCAAGTACCGCAAGCCATGGGTCTTGTCCACTGTGCTTTGCTTTTCTCATAAGCTGCTTTGCAGATTTTACGGCATTTTCCGCTTTTCCATTCGACTTAGGATATGCCGGACTGGATGTTTTATGGTCGAATTCCCACTTGACTTTGAAGTTTTCAAATTGCTGGGAGGTAAATTGAGGACCATTATCACTGATAACTTTGTCAGGAATTCCGTGTCTAGCAAAATGCTGTTTTAACTTGCTGATATCGGTAGCTGAGGTGGTAGACTCCAGCCTTACAATTTCGAAGAAATTGCTGTAGTAGTCTACTGAGATGAGGTATTGGTCATCACTTACAGGTGATTGGAAGAGATCTACTCCTACAACAGACCACGGGCGGTTTGGAATCTCATGTGAGATGAGAGTTTCTTTTTGCTGTGATGGCTCATAAGTTCGGCACGTTTCACACTTTGATACAAGATCTTTGATCTCAGAGTTCATGTTCGGCCAGTATACACACTCTCGAGCTCTACGAAGGCATCCTTCAGCTCCGATATGTGATTGATGAAGCTTTCCCATAACCTCAGCGCGTAATGCTTTCGGTATGACACAACGGGTTCCACGGTACACAATACCATCTTGGACGGATAGTTCGTCTCGCACATGAAAGTATGGATGCATTTCCACTGGCGCACTTCCCTTGTTCTTTGGTCATCCATCTAGAATAGTCTGCTTAAGTAAGTCATGCGTTCTGTCACTGGTCTGCTGTATCTTCAACATCCTTGCTTGCGAAATAGGTAAGTATTCTACCATGTTGATATCTTCAAATACCTTGAATACTTCCTCGGTGCAGAGTTCTGTAGTCTGTTTCTGGGGATGCGCTCTGGACAGTGCGTCCGCCACATACATTTCTTTGCCAGGCTTGTATGTGATCTCAATGTCATATTTCTGGAGTCGTAAGAACATACGTTGTAGACGCTTTGGAGCTGAAGCCAATGGTTTCTTGTGTATAATTTCCAGGGGTTTGTGGTCGCTCTCCACAAGTACCTTGCGGCCGTAAGTATATTGCTTGAATCGCTCCATTCCGAATACGACAGCCAACAGCTCCTTCTCAATCTGCGCATAATGTTGTTCGGTAGGCGTCAATGCTCTGCTGGCATAAGCGACTGGTTGTCCCTTCTGTAAGAGGGATGCGCCAAGTCCTGTGCTTGATGCGTCACACTGTAGTGTGGTTTCTTCTTTCGAGTCAAAGTATCGTAGAACTGGTGTTCGCGATATTGTATCTTTAAGTTTACGAAATGCTTCTTCCTGCTCGTGTGTCCATTGCCAAACTACCTCTCGGTGGACAAGGGAACGAATTGGTTCACACATATCACTCAATTTGTCCATGAACTTGGACAGATAGTTCACAAGTCCTAAGAACCTCTGCACACCCGCAACATCCTTTGGGGTTTCAAATTCAATAATAGCCTGTACTTTGCGAGGGTCAGGCTTGAGTCCATCGGGGGTTAGAACATGTCCAATATTTGACATTTCCTTTAATCGCAGTTTAAACTTGTCTTTGTTCAACTTGATTCCCTGCTCGCGGCATCGGTTCAAAAAGCTGAAAGTTTCTGGTCGTGATCCTGTATGGCTTCTGCATCACTGTCTCCTTCTCCATAGATAAGAATATCATCAGCAACAGCTTTGACTCCAGGTAAGTTTTGTATGGCTTGTTCCAAACGATGCTGGAAAATCTCAGGCGCTGGAGAGATGCCAAAAGGTAGGCGGCGCCAGCGATAGCGTCCAAACGGAGTTTCAAAGGTTGTAAGGTAGCTGGACTGCTCGTCGAGCTCCACATGCCAGAAGCCATTCTTTACGTCGCACACCGTGAAAACGCGAGCCTTGGATAGATCAGGTAAAACGTCTTCGATCACAGGAAGAGGGTAATGACTTCGACGGAGCGCCTTATTCAAGGGTTTCGGGTCAATGCAGATGCGTAACTTTCCATTCGCCTTCTTGAATACTAGTAGGATAGATACCCAGTCTGTAGGCTTATTGACAGCTTGAATGACCTGTAATCCTTCTAGTCTTTTCAGTTTTTGTTGCAAAAGTGGCTTGATTGCAACTGGGACACGGCGTAAAGGAAGTTTCACAGGTGGGACAGTCTCGTCTATTTCTAGATGCACTGGTCCCTCGAAGCATCCATTTCCTGTAAAGATGTCTCCATAATTCTTTGTTATGGTGTCCATATCAAGGTGATTGTTTGTGTTGGGGAACTCAAGAGTCATAATATTGTCATGTTGGACTGAAATCAAGTTCATTTGCTGACTTGTGCTTGAGCCCAAAATAGGGTGTAAACCACTGTTCACCACAACAAAGTTCTCTTTGAATGTTTCCCCGTTTCTTGGATTAGTGAAGGTCAAATTACAACTGCCAGAAGTCTTCATTTGCTGTCCATTGTAAACTTTCAATGTGTGATGACCCTTCTGTATCTTCACATTTTTCGGTACAAGGTCATCTGTAATAACATTACAGGTGGCCCCACAGTCAATTTGGAATTTTCCAGGTTTCGGCTGAGAATTAAAGTTCATTTGAGCAAACAGTTTTCTCGAATGTTCCAAAGCGCTGGTAGCGAAGATCTGTTCTACTTTAAGGATTTCCTCATCGGAATAACATTGCTCATACTTATCCAGGAAGTTCACTCTCTTATCTCGCTGTCGGCACACTGCCTTAAAATGGTTTTTCTTCCCACACTTTCCACAGGTTTTGTCCCATGCTGGACATGATTGTTTATCTCTGGAGTGCTGCTGACCACAGTAACAACATGTACGAGTCTTTGTACTCTGTGGTTTAGGGTGTGTTCCTCCTCCTTTATGATCCTTATGCTTCACACCGTTTCTGTGTTTGGTTGATTTTTTCAATGTGTGTATTTCCTCCTGAGGATTCATGGTCTTAACTTGTGCGGCGGTTTTCTCTGCTGCTCTACAGATGTCCACACATTTCTGAAGTGACAGTCCAGATTCTTGCAAAAGTTTTTTTCTTATAGTGTTGTCCTTGATTCCACACACTATTCTGTCACGAATCATCTGGTCGGCTAACTGACCGAACTCACAGGTCAGTGAGAGCTTTCTCAACTTTGTGACATAGGAATCGATTGTTTCTCCCGTTTCTTGATGCTTGTTGTTGAAAACATATCTCTCATATATCGTGTTTGTTTCCCCTACACAGTACTCCTCCATGAGTTTCAATATGGTTGCTGGGTCGTTCTTTTCATTTTCGTCTTTAAATGGAAGTCCGTTGTAGACCTCGAGGCCTTCAGGGCCTATACATGTAACAAAAGTCGCAACCTGGTAGGCATTGGTTTTCTCTGAAAGTCCCGTCACTATGACATACGAGTCCCAAAGCTGTTTCCAGCATTTCCAGTGTTGTGCAACGTTCCCCGCCAACTCCAACTTTGGCGGGAGCGGTATGTGGCTCTGCATAATCGATGCCGGTGCTGCTACTTGATCCTCCATTCCATAAAGATATCTGATATATTCACTAAAGTCACTGGGTTCACTACTCATTCGCTGCAACTCGTATAATTTGCACTAACGTGTGACATGGACGTATACTTGTCGAGGAAATTCGACCCAGCACGTTTGCACTTCCGAAACAATTATTTACTGTGCATTAACACACAATCCCGTTAATTAAAACGAAGTTCGGTACTCACTGTACTTCTGACACCATGTATCAATACCTGTATAAGTCTTTATGTGGAGTGCAACAGTGTTTATTCAAGTAGGTAAGCACATGGCATGTTTACAACAATGGCGGCAATGTGTAGAACGGGGCCGCTTAGGTGCTATATGAAATACATTAAATTTTACCGAGGCCGCTCATGTACATAAGAATGAATAGGATCTATATTTAGCAATATTCAATTGACATACTCTAATATTGTTACAACAAGGATGTCTGTTAACATTTTCGGGAACACTTTGCACAGACTATTTCATGGTTGAATTCGACCTTTCCACCCGGCGAGCAGAGTTTTAACGCTGTTTACGGAGACGAAAGTAAAAGACAAGCGATGCCGTGTATGATTGTGTAGATAAATTATCGTAGAAGACATAGGTATCAACATTTTGTCAGTGCATTTTCTCTGCAAGTGTAAATGAGTGCGATTCTAGGGGAGGGGGTACTCTGTTTAATTCTGGGTTAGTTACAGAGTTAGATTACAAGATCCTTGTCACTGTCCAGTACATTCAGCTACGTAGGGAGAATTTACCGACTGTAGCTTTATTTACCCACCCCAGGTAGCTTTATTTAACCATTTCAATCCAATTCACAAATGTTATTCTCATGAAGTTGCAATTATATGGCCACTAATATTTATACATAGGTATGTTAAAAAAGCAATCCAAAAGAGAGATAGATTATACATTGTTGCTTTTGAACACTTTTAAGCAAAAGATGTATTATTTCCATTGTTTGAGTAACTATCCACTGCTTTGTGTGTGGTGAGGCGTGGATGAGTATGATCATCATCACTTCACATTGTGTTGAATAATTACCCAATTTTGATCACAATTAACTAAACTGTATATAGCCCTGTATATAGCCCTTAAACTTTCAGAACTTTAACTGCAATTGTGCAGAAAAAGACACATCTTCCAGAGTAATTTTTTCATAAATTGTTTTCATATGAGTTGAAATCACTGTATCAAATTAATTCAACAAAAAAGTCTTATGTGGTAGCTAAATAAAATAAAGCTACCTTAGGTAGGTAAATAAATTTAAAGCTTTGTATGTAATTTATGCTACGTATCGAAAGCTAAATCTAGTGATTGTACCTGAATGTACCACTGACCTGCTTGTGTTGAGTTATGGGTTTAAATTTCTTACCAAAACAAGTGCCTGTGTGAAAATTAGCGACATCAATCAACCAAACTTGTAAGAGATTTATTAGGACCCGACACTCCAAACCACACTTCTAGTAGATATGATTTTTTGCATATTTGATTTGAATTATGCAAGTAGTTGTAGAGTGTTTCGGCTATTAAGAAGCCTCATCAGGGGCCACGGACATAAATCATGGTGTTTGTTTTAGGTGAGATCGGATTATCTCGTTTGCTGAAACACTAAATTAATTTGCGAGCCTTGATGCACAAAACTAATGCCGGCGAAAACTTGCTCTATCTCTATTCGTTGAATGACGTTTTTCAATCAGATTGTTAAGTTAAATATATCTATATACTGTATAACTTATTAAAATGCTTGTTCCATAGAATTAATGTTTAGTTTGTATAGAAAAGTATAAGTAAAAGAGAGAAAATCGGATCTGCCAATGAATATGTAAATGCGATATGTAGAATTAAAAGCGCGATTTGCCGATGAATGGTATATTTTTATTCGAATAGGGCGAATTATTCTACGGGCAAGTTACCTAAGGTGCAAACTTTCTAGCATTGTCGCGCATGCGTAGCTTGTCGTTTGCCCAGGGCATCCGGTTTAACCTCTCTTATATATTTACTGCATGGACCTCAGGGTCCACGCAAAAAGCAAAGATAGTTAAAATTTTGCTGAAAGACCTTTCAACACACACTGCTGACAGTCTTTTCTGTTCCAGAACATACAGTCCTGTTTTGGCACACAATCTAACGTAGTCCGAAATATCTGACGTTTTTCTGGCTTTTTTATGATTTTGAGTTTTA